CCTCCCCAGCCTCTCACCTTCTGCCCCGCCTGCCGCTGGCCGCACACGCTGCAGCTCCACTTCCCGCTCCGCTTGGCCTAAGAGGGAGCAGAGAGGGTCAGTCACGACCCGCAGCCCGCTCCCTTCCCCGGCCCGCACCCACCTGCTGCACTTGGAAGAGGCGGCAGGAGCAGCACCGCAACACCCAGAACCGCGCCGCCATGCCCGCCGCCCGCCCTCGCCATAGCAACACGCGCCTTCCGGCCACGTGACACCGCCGCGACCAGCGAGGCGCCGCTCTGGCCCCCAGTCCGCCGAGCAGCCTCGACTGACCGCCCCGAGCTGCCCGCACCGGGAGCGCTGCCTGCACCGGGAGCGGGCAGGGGGAGCCTGGATGCGTGTTTAGTTGATAAAGGTAACCTCCTTCCAGGAGGGAAAACATTTTGTGTCTGCACCTGCATAATTAACAGTCGTGTTGGCACCTACCTAAAGCTGCGTCGGGCTGTGTTGGACAGAGAGTAAATACGCAGAACAATAACTAAAAAAAAGAAATATAAAAATGGAAAAAAAGAAATCGAGAGAAAGAGCAAAGAGAGAGAAAGAAAAAAAAAGAAGAAAGAGAAAAAAAGAAGAAAAAATAAAATAAGAAAAAGAAAAAAAGTCAGCCTCCAGTCATACCAAGTCTGCTCTTTTATATAACTGCCATGGACAAAGAACAAGAAATACTCCATGAGCTCAAAGAAATAAAAGGCAGTCAAGGTAGCCTATAGGATTCTGGTTCATTTATTGAGTACATGACAGATAAGACAGACAGTGTAAAATCACATTATTTGTACTTTAAAAAAATTACAATAAATTACTGAATAATTAGTAAAAGCAGTTTTACTAATGGCTGCTCTCTGGTGACACAGGACAGAGGAGGCAGAGAAATAAGAAATATGTACCAGCTGTGAATACATACAGAGAATGTCACAAGGAGGAGTTAACACTGAGTAGGACACCACAAGTAGTGTTAAATGGGAACACCCAACCGTACGTGTCCTTCCCATCCTTTGTACTCCAAACGCCAAGCCAAAAGCTGTACCAAACGTTGCCTTCAGTGCAGGGTCTGCTCTTGCCGAGCAGCAGCCATCTCTCACTCTGGCCCTGCAAGGCAGATACCTGTGTACTGAGATGAATTTACCTGTAGGAACAGCATCGATTCTCCTTCCTCAGAGCAGATGCCCTACTACCAGAAGGCTAACTCTTAGTTTCTTCTGGTCTTGATTTAAAAAGCAGTCTCGCAGTCATTATGCCCCTAACTGGAAAGGGATCTTGTCTATTGAGGTTTCCTGTAATGGGCTGATGGCAGAGGGCCACACTGCTTTGAATCTGCCCTGTTTAGGTACAAGTGCCCTTTGATGTGTAGTTTCTAAAAGCACATGGGTTGCTCCACTCTTTGTACTGGAGGCGTTCAGAAAGGACACACTGAGCAGCTGCAGGTGGCACAACACTCCTGCGTATCTTCCTGCCCCGAGCACTGGTGAGGGCTGACTGATCAGAACAGTCTTAGGGGTCTTCCTAAAAATTGGACCCATCACTAGTTAATAAAATGGAGAATCAGCAAGAAACAATGAATGTTTTCAGTACTGACAAGAAAAGTCCAGCAGACCAGTGTGCTGCTGCCCTGTAAGGCTGAGGCTGACTCACCAACTTCTAATTTAGGAACATATTCTCTAATTACAGCCATCATAAGCCCATTGATTGACTTAATATTACATCTGCACTGAAGTCAAGGAGCTTGTGGCTTCCCAGACAAACTAAAACCAATGGCTTTCAAAGAATTAGAAAAGCAAATGCTAGAAAACCAGGTTTGTCTAAATTTAAACTCCCAAATGCTGAATGAGAAAGAAAGTGATCATACACTATGAAAATGCCAAATCACACCTGAAAGAAACCCGCAGATGTGAGAAATCTCTGTGTTTAGATCTTAGGGTGCTGGAGCGGTGGGGCACATGTGCATTATAGCTGCTGAGTCACAGAACAGCACTGAAGAACTTACAAGACTATTCATGGGTCAGGGTCCTATAGCACTTGACTACACTGCATTAGCTCTCAGGTTGGCAGCCAGAGGTGAATATGGTTTCAAGCCAGGCTGCATCTGCTGTGCAAGTTACCCAGGAACCTACAGCAAACAAGGGCAGACAAGGAGCAGTTACTGTCCAAAATAAAACTTCATTAAAATGAAAGATAGCAAAAGGCAGACATGCATAATTTATGGTGGTAATTCTATATGTCGAGGGCTATTAGGTTCTAATGGCTCTTGAGAATGTAAATCTAATTCTGTCAGCCAGAGTAGCCAAAGAAGCACCTACACAAAATAGTCACTGCCAGAAGCCCCTTAGTGACTGGAATCTATTGTAATTGTGTGGTTACTGGTCTCTGATTAAACAATAAAACCCCCAAACACAAAATACCAAACCATCCTGCCATCTGCCATGTCATCTCCCTGTTTTATCTTCCATCCCTGCTTTCTTGAGTTCACCCTGACACGGAAGAAAGTTCATAGTCACTGGATGAGCTGAACTGCCTCTCTACCTTCTTCTGATCTTTGATCTTTTGGAGAATGTCAACCTTTTTCTCAAAGTAGTTTACAAGGGCTGTTTCTGTCAGCATGGAGGCCAAGATCTGCTCAAAGGAGATGGACCAGTCAGTATCAATGGTACTACCGTACCTGGCAGCTGAACTGCTGCCTTCACAACCAACCAGGACTGTGTCATCTGCAATGTCTTCACACTGCAGGGAGCCTGTGCTGACCATGGAGTAGGAAGACATGGACATATCATCTTTGGTTTCATCATCTGATAGCAGCTGTAAAGGAGAGCCTTGTCCTTCCCCTGACCCATCTCCTAGAGTTTGGTTCTCCTGCTGTGTTTTTTCAGGCTGAGCATCTCTGCAGGTTTTGTCCTCATGGTCAGCTTGGGGTTGCTGCTCCACTGCTGAATTCTGACTCTGTTCAGATGTTGGTGACTCCTCTTCACTCACAAGATCTTGGGTGCTGTTTGCTTTGCAGTCCTCAGACTTCCTCATGGGCCTGTTGGAGAATTTTTTTCCAACCTCCCCAATTCGCAGGAGGAGACTGGCTACAGTGGCAATGGCATGGTACAGCTCTTGCTCCACTGGGTCCTCACTGAACATGTTGTAAAGGGTCTTGCATAACTCTATGAATTGTTCCTTTAAAAGAAAAAAAAAAAAATCATACTTTAGACTGAAAAAAGGTTGACAGGCAGATGAAGCAACAGGCACCATCTTGACAATCTCCTTGTTTATTTGCCTCCCCACTGAGTAAGTGGCAACTTAACTGTGCTGATTCAGAACAGTCCAATATAGGCAAACTCTTCTCTCTCTGCTGGTAGTGACTGAATTGAGACACAGCGAGCAATTTAATAGCAGTGGGGTTTTTTTGCTGACAGATGAACAGAGTACTCATATATTCACATTTGAGAAAACCTAAAGTTTTACTTCTGTCCTGCTACTCTTCTGTGGTCAGCCTCTAAGCATTTCCAAATTGATTTAAGTAGCATCCATCAAGAAAATAAGAGACAGAAAAGATCACACCAGTCATCAGACTCTCCTTCCTGTAACCACATCCTTTGCTCTCCACCAAGCAGCTGTAACTTGAGGCAATGCAAAGCCAAAAGAGCCAAACAAGTTTCTATGACTGATGGCGTATTCCAAACATACTGCTCTGGAGGGAAAACACAGACTGCAGTTCTTATAGGAAAAACTGGTCTGGGAGATAGAGAGAATCAAATACATTTGATTGGTGGAAACAAAGCCATTTGTCCATGTCCAGTGGGGAATTCAACACAAATGCGTGGAATTAAGAGGCTTCTAAAGCTCACCAGATCAGAACAGCTGGGCAATCGACAGGCAAGGACTGAACAGGCAGGCAAAATGGCAGCACACACTGCTGAACTCCCCACTAAGCTGGCAGTCAGATGACTGGAAACCTTCCCATTCACTTCTTACCTGGCTCATTTTGGGGAGATCTTTAATGGTTTCTTTCTTGGACTCTTTCTCCTTGGCCCACATTCTTAGGTAGTATCTATAGTCCTGTGGACTGGTACCTTTCTCCTCTGCAAGGCAAGACCAAGCCACTACTGTGAGGTGGTTAATGGTTAAAAAGTGAATGCTGTGCCAGCAAAAATCATGCTGGACATAGGTTTTATTGTCAGTTCAGGAATGCATCTACCAGAAGGGCTGCGTTGTTTTCTGTTGGTTTATCTGATCCAGCTCAGTAGAGCAAAAATTTTAACACCGCTGCACTAGCTTAACTTCTAAATGAACTCTATGAGTTGACAGTTTACCAAAGGTGACTTACAAATGTTATGATCTTGGCATGTGAAAGAGTCAGAGAAGTCAGGCGTAAGAGGAATTTATATCCCAACTCATATCCCACTTTACCTCTGTCCATGAGGGACACTTTGAAAGGTCTCATTGATACAGCAATGGACAATGAACAGTTCGTAATATGAGAGAGACAAGACTAGAATGTGGTCTATTTAAGATGAAATTACCTTTTTCTGGACCATTCTCATTTCTCCTTCCTTTATCTTCTTGGGGTTCTGAAAAGTTATGGAATTATTAAAGAATAATTAATACATGATTTTTCAGCAATACAACGCATGAAGAACATAAGACAACTCACATACAAATTAAAATCATACAAGAATATATTTGATAGCTGTTAAATCTCACACTCCCACATCATGTTTGGAAGACTGAACAGAACAGGATGGAAGCAAGAGGTTGACGAGATGTACTGGATGAAAAGCCACACTGAAAAAGTGGGTTGAAGAGCTGAGGTTGAGGGCAGAACTCTTAAAGAGAAAGGGTGAAACGCAGATATGAAAGACAGCCAAGCAATGTGATGGCTTAAAGACAGAGAAGTGCAGTTATCCAAAGCAAGATAAAAAATGGAAAAAACCCAAACCACTGAGCACACATGTGACTAATATCTACACTCACCATTATTCACTAACTCAACTGACACTTTGGGAGTAATTTGCAGAATCTAACTTTGCTTCTGGTTCCTTATGTCACAAGATTATACAGGGAGTCGTGGCTCAACTCTCACTTAAGTTAGCCCCCTAGTACCAAACAGCACAACTATCCCTTGTACTAACTCAGATTTATTTTTTAAACATTATTACATTTTGGCAAACATTTGGCACAAGTGACATACTCTCACCTCCTATTTGACAATCCCTAAAATTGTATTTTAAGAAATACAGTAAATTAGCCTACTAACAGTTCAATACAATGGCATGCATCCTTATTTCTTTAGATTACAAGACTGTGGAGGATGCACAGATATCATCTAGCCAGGCCAGCAAGCCTAGCACCCCCTACACTCTGCTCTAAACCTCTTTACCCCCTGCTAGTGTCCAGGGTGAGATAAATTTCACTGAAAGAAACCAGACAAAACCCATTTTGACCAAGGTTGAAATTCAATAGGTAGACTATACTGAAAGATACCTAATTACCTAGAGCACTTTATTCATAATGGAAGTGTCATGAGAGAGGAGCTGCAGCAACAGCTTCAGAATATTTTAAATAGCACACTGGTGCTGGCAGATGATATCAGCATTATAGCCATGCTCAATGCATGCATGTAATACATGGACTGACCTTGAGACTCACAGTGCAGGCAGAAATCCAGCTCTGAGACAAAAGAAGATACTTGAGCAGCAGAAAGAGGGGTTGAGGGGACAATATCCCAGATAAAACAGAAGAAAAGGCCAGACATAGACAGACAGAGAAGGAAACAAAAACAAGAAGAGAGACAATGAGACTTGCATGGAAAACCTGAATCATGGTGGGAGAAGTACACTACACTTTTACACTGGTAAAAGTACACTGCTCCTCCTCATCAGCCTATGATTGTGCTTCAGGGCACGCTGTGTTCTGCACAAAATAGGCACTGAGGAGTTTCAGCACCAAACTTTGTTCCTACCATGCAACAAATAAAGCAAACTGGCAAACACACTGGCAATCTTAACATGCTGCCATCATGAGACCATGCCTTGCAAAAAATCACCATTCACAGCACATGGATTTATGCTGCAGCTCCTGCCTAAACTGAGAGGTAAAGGCAGCAAGTGTTGCATTACCTTCTGTTGTAACATCCTCTGTGAAATAATTTGTGGCCTCCAAAGCAGATTCTGTCTCCTCTGGATTCAGAGCTGTATTTACAAAGAAGGAAATGTTAAGATCTCTAAACTAATTGAACAGCAGTATCACCCACTTCATTAGCAAAATTCATCAGGCATCCCTTTTCAACTGCATGTCAGAACAGACCATGCTCAATGGTGGCTATATATGAATGCAGATCACTCACCGGGAGGTAGATGCAGTTTGTAAAGTACTTTGAGTTTTTCAGTGAGGTCACCATGGTACATCCCACCTGTGAAGAAAAAACAAAAGGATAAGAAAAACGGTGCTTAGGATAAAGAATCACACTCTGCTCACAGGCTCAAAACAGAGTGAGTTCACATGCAATGAGGAAATGCTAACTGCGCAAAGCCCTGTGCAGAAGCAGTAAAAAAATTCACAGCAAAGCTGTATCTTCTTGGTTTGCCACCTATCATGTCCCAAAACAGGAGACTGCCTAGCAGCAAAAAGGCAATCTTCTGTTCTGCCTGAGGCATCCCATAAGGCTGTCACCCTCCCCTCATGACAGTGCAAGCATCGCTATCTCCTTTTATAGTTCTCTGTCTGGAAAAGGACAGAAACATTTTTTGCAATATTCAATCGTCTCAAAAACCACCACTTACTCATCCCTGTCACAAACTCCTTGAAGTTAATGAGAGAATCCCTGTTCTCATCCAGGAGCCGGAACAAACGCCCTGCTAGCACAGGCGTATGAGCGCCACAGGACCAGGGGGTCAAACTGATGAACAGCTCTTTGAACTGCTCCATGTCTATGCGATACTGCTCCAGGTAGGGCAAACTCTGATCTCGGCGAGCAGCTGCAGCACGATTATTTCCCCAGTAACAGCTCATCAGATACTTTGCCTTCGGAGGGAAAGGATTAATAGGTCAGATGATACTACACTACAACAGTCCACAAGAGTGGAGACTTTGTTATAGCTCAAGCATAGCACTGAGTAAGCAGAGAAGAAACAACGTGTCCTGAAATGTCTATAATCTTCCCCCATTATTCCTAGTGTTACTTCCCTACAAAATATTTTGAAATGAAGGAAAAGACAAAGATTTCACAAAAAGCACAAAGAACAATTTTGAGAGAAAAATACAAACCCCACGATTTCATGTTTGAATGAAATGACACTCAGGCTTTACTACAAAGGGAACATGCAGGTTTTAGGACTAAGCCTCTCTTTCCGAGTCTACAGCACAGTGCAACTGAATTTGCAGTGCCTGGTAAACGCAGATGGGTAACATCACTCTTCTAAAAATACATATATTGACAAAGAGAGGCAAAGCATTTAAGTAATTCTGTCACAATTACAGAGCAAGTCAATGGCAAACTTGGTAACAAAAACTGAGGTACAGTCACTCCTAGCTCCCCGTTCTAAGTGCTATGTGACATTCCTTTCCATTGACTCCACGAACTCTTTCTGATTAGGTATCACTCAAATACTGTCAATGTGCTTTGGCCATATTTGGGAAAAAAGAATAAAAATCAATCTGACAGTAATAGGGCCAGTCTCACTGGCACCATGTATAACCACGTACAATAGAATGCTACATCTGCTTCTGATAGGTTTGATTAAGAATCAAAGCAAAGTCACTGCTTCCCTTTCAACTTATTTTGGTATTTGTTCCCTCTGTGTCAGAATACATTCTTCCTCACTCCAGCTTCTTACCTTGAACACTACATACAGCTCTTCTAGTTCTTCAATAGAGAAACCAATGTCACTAGACACAGCTCGGACCTATAGTTAGGGAGAAAATAGAGTGAACAATTTAGTTCAAAGCTAGAAAAAATAAATACGACTCACTGAAAAAAATCTGTGTAACATATAAGAGAAAAAAAAGTGCAAGGAGATATGACAGAAGACAGGAGATAAAATATAGCCATTTTAATCCCTCTCATTGCTATAGATTACAGGTCAGGAAAACAGTTTCTGGTCAAGCAGAAACTGCTGACATTTTGAGCAGCTATAAAAAAGCTACTGTGCTTATTTCCTGTTTGTGCAGATCTGACTGTGCAGACTGTGTTGCCCCTACATCTTGTTTTTATCTTCACGTTTCACTCAGATGCACTGAAAAACAACAGTGGATGAGGTTCTTCACCTGCGACATGGGAGACAATTGCAATAGGTACGAATACTCCCCTTTGGCCATGAACCCTTCTGTAAACCCCCTAATGTGCTAGCATACTCTCTAAGTGGCAGGAAAATAATTATCTGGTAGCTAGCTTTCCTCAAAGATTCCAGGCAAGCAGTAAAACAGATAGCACCAGGCAATGGAGACTATTACAAGGCCTACAAGTGTTTTTGGTCTTTCTCCATGCCAAATCTCATTCAATCATACCCTAGCACTTCAAACTGTTTTAGTAGATTAACTAGAGCCATGTGAAGAAGAAAACTAAAAATCCACTATTCATCCAGTAAATCCATTTTTCCCATTAACCACAATTTAAGTCACTTAAAACCAGGTCTGCTACAGCACAAACTTTCTAGATGCTCACAATAAAACATGTTCCATTGATACGCCATTTGGTAGCTCATTTGATCTGGGAGTCACATACCACGCTCTTCTTGGCTGTATCCTCCAGAGACTGGATCACTTTCAGCCTTTGCTTAAAACGCATTTGTTCAATGTCATCTGCCTTCAGATTGCTAAATTTCTAAAGAAAGGAAGCAGGACCAGGTCAACATCATCTCCTAAAGAACAACCCTCGTTCAATTACATGTTCTGTAACAAGTGTACTGTCCCCTCAGAGATCATCCAAAAGCCCTAGAAGCCTTTTACCAGTGGCAAAAAGATGAGATAAAAACTTGAGCTCTGTTCCCTATTCACCCCTGTCCTGCAAGAGAAGACATTCAGGATTCATGAGAAATCTAACATCAGAGGTTTCTAAACAACAACTGAAAACGCATCTGTCAGGGCTGACAGAAATACAGACCTTGCACAGTCGCAGAGATAAGAAAACAGAAATGTCATTTCTTCCAGCCTTGTTTTTTTCTAGGACCTCTATGAGATTCAGCTAGAAACACCAAAGTAAACAGGCTTTTCTATGGTCTAGGTCAGACAAGCAAGATGAATTTGGTGACACTCTT